AGGGGCCTGGCCAAGCCGGCGGGTCCGCAGAGCGTCCGGCAGCTGAGGGAGGCCGAGGAGGCCGCGCCGGTGTTCCAGTACGCGGGGAAGGCGGCCAAGCGGAAGGACCGCGTCTTCGTGTGGGGCTTCTCCTACTCGGGCGCCCTGGGCGTCCCCAGCTTCGTGAAGCCGGACGTGAGCTGGAAGAAACCGCGGCGCATCCAATCCACGCCCTACCGCCTGGAAACGGAGGAGAAGGTGAGCCTGGGGGCGGCGGTTCTGTTCTCTCCCGACAGGGTGACGCTGGCGTTGCGTCGCCGACACTGGCGCAGCTCTGTCCGGGCCGGCTAGTCGTCTCCTGACTGTGAAGGGCGGACTTAAAGACTGCCACTTTTTGGTTTTGTTTTGTTTTGTGTTTTTTTTTTTTTAAATTGATACAGCGGTATTAATCAGGATTATTTTGGTATAACTACAGAATCATACTACTTGGAAAATATATATCTTCTTTTGTCAGAGAAATAAGACGTGGACATTTATCAGAGAAAATGGGCCTCCTTTTCAGTGGTTTTCATGGCTGCTCTCACCTTGACGAAATTAAAAGCTTGTATTGAAAATCATGTTATTAATTTCTCTGCATGTTTCAGTCATTATGTTCTGCTGTCCAGTTCAAAGAAGGTCAGAGTTTTTATACTGGGCTTTTTTGGTAAAAGGAGTAAAACAGAGGAATGTTATTCTCTTAATATCTCTGTGGGTTGGTTTTTTTTTTTCTTTACTGCTATTGCAGGTCAGCAAATAGGTCTTCCTGTTGTGTTTGAGTGGGTCCAAAATAATGCAAAAATAAAGATGTAGACACACAAAAAACTCTAAAGCAGTAATGTTGGACTTGAGCTTACACCGTTGTGCTTGTCATTGAAGAGTGTTTGATCATTTTTGCGGAGACCATGCACACCATGAATTTGGGCCATATTTGGATCTAGTTTAATGAAGGATGAATGCTGTTGAACAAATAGTGTGGGGTGAAATTTGTTTTCCTAAACTGTTACTTATAACGGAATGTTGTGGTTTTTGTTTGTCTTCAAAGATATCCTCTGCTGCCTGCGGTTACGGATTCACACTGCTGTCCTCTAAAACCACAGACATCACCAAAGTGTGGGGCATGGGACTTAACAAGGATTCCCAGCTTGGATTCCAGAGAAGCATAAGAGATCGAAGTAAGGATTGAAGTGTTTTAAAGACTTACAGGGGAGCACTACAGGATACATGTGTTGTGGGAAACTTGGTGTTAGAAGACATGAAAAGTGTCCAGGAGGCTTTGATGCGAAGTGCAGGGCTGTGGTGTTGTTTGGGGTTTTTTTAAGCAGTTTTTTGGGAACTTAGCTGTGGTTTTGTGTGCTTTGTAATTGGTCAGGGCATGCATCCATTCTGTGCACTGCACCCACATTCTTGTCTAAGGTAACTAAAATCTAAGTAACTGTTTATTCTGTAGAACTATGTGTGTATGGGTTAAGCCGTTGGTTTGAATCGCTATAGTTTGATAGTAGACAATGTAGTGGACTAGTTAATAAAATTATTTTGACAAGATGGTTAGCTCGATTCTTTTGACTTTGCACCTATGAACTAATTTCCTTTCCCACAGAGATTTTTATACAGTCAGTGGAGATTTTTGTGAAGCTGTAGGGGTTTTGTATTTTAGTACCAAATTGTATTTTGTATGAAGGAAAAATCTGTTATTTGGTAATTCTGTCTTATACCAGGCTCTCAAAGGCATTTAAACACATTTAAGATGATGATTTCTGTGCATAAAGTTGCCATCTTCCACCTAAGACAGGTAGAAAAAACACAAACTTACTTCCTTTATAGAATGGCTGTCTCTGTTTGAAGACATTCCTCCATAAACAATTGGGGAAAAACATGTTAAAAGGAGTTTTTTCTCTTCCTAGTCTGTCTATAAAAGTGTAATCCATTAAGGTATGGTCCATCTGATATAGGCAAAAGATTAAACTTTGTGCAGAAGCAAAAGAAAATTGCAGCTACTGTGCAGAATGCTGAAGTTTACAGTGGTGCATCACTGCTACTACACTGTCCAAGAGTGTGTGTGTGTGCTTAAACACCAGCTGTAAATTGAAGGGTCCACAGAAGCCTCCACTCACGTCTGCTTTTAAAGGTTTCAGTTCCTGCTGTCTTAGTTCTGTGCATGCTGATGTCTCAGGAGTATCTTATTATTTTCTTGGTTTTCATCTGACCTGCAGGTTATTTTTGACAGAGAATCCAGAAATAGGTTAAATAGTTTTGCAGTTTAAGTGCCTCTAAGTAAGAAAGCATTTCGTGTTTGGTAGGATCTGTGGAAAGTCTGGTGCAGGTCGGTGAGATTGCTACTGCTCCATATTTAACTTCCCACAGACGAGCTTCCTGTTGGATGTGCAGCTCATTACTCATTTTTACAGACTTACTTTGGTACCTGCTAGTTTCAGCACTGTGCCCCTGTAGATGCTTTGTTTCCAGGGGAATTTGCAGTCTTCTGACTTACAGATGACTGTATTTCATGCCCTAACTTCAGCTGTTTCTAAGCTAAACTACTGTTTTACTCTCACCCTCCTCTTCCTTAGCCACCTCATTGCCTCTCTTCTCCAAAATCCCTCAGATGTCAGTGACAATTGCCACAGATCCCAGTAGCTTATGTTGCTCTGCTGGAAGGAACAGAGAGAGGGAGGAAAAGTTTTTTTGCTTTGCGACTTCCATGTCTCCTTAGACAGATACAAACATTGCTGCCTTTTGGTTCTGCTGTATTGCGTGGCAGGCTCCTAGCATTCTTGTGACGCCTGTCCTTGCATCATGTAGTGTCTTACTGTAAAAAGGTATGTGTAGACTTTCTGGGTTTGTTTTAATTGAAAGCAGTGAGTACTTGTTAAAGCACTGCTGTGTGTGAGCAGAATACTGCTTTGGGTCCTCTGGGATTTGATTTCACTTGTTAGAGTGGCTTTCTTTGATATCAAAGCTTTTTTATCTCCCCTTAACCTTTTCCCTAGTACTGATTTATGTTTTGCTGTTCTTTTTTTCATTTTTTTTCCCAGTGGACCGTAACTGATTATATATTCTTCAGGTTACTAAATCTTCTTTTTCTAGTACAGCCTGTCATTTTCTTTCACAAACGTTAGATCTGTTATTCCCTATGGAGCCAAGTTAGCTGATGTTCTTGCATTCGTTTTTTCTGAAAGGTCCTTTAATCTACTGTTCTTTAAATATGAAGCCCTAAGATTTTTTTTGTTCACCTTTCATGCTGTCTTTTGGTGATAGCTGCTATTGTATCTTGTTTGCAGTATCCCTCATTGCACAGACTACTTAGTTTGTGCTTGGTGTTGAGCTCTCTAGTAATCCAGCCTTATTCGCTGAAGTTGTTGAACATATGGCTGAAAGCCCCTGTTTCTCACTTCTGTCCACCTGAAGCCTTAATAACATTCAGGTATGGTGGATTTTTGGTTAGGCACTGATTATTGGCTTCAACCATCCTTACAACGTTTAACTACACCCCACCCCACCCCGAATCCTGGTCAACCTTTTACTTTGGTTAGTATCATGGCTTTCTAAAATTGTATCTACTTTTGTAACAAAGTAGAGGTGAGCGTGCATATGTACAGCAGGATGGGCAAGTATATGATGAATTTGCTTTGTGGAAGCTACTGACTTTAACATTTCTCTCTCTTCCGTAAGCTAAGGGCTATGAATATGTCTTGGAACCATCTCCAATTCCATTGCCGCTGGAGAAGCCGCAGCAGACTCGAGTCTTGCAGGTGTCCTGTGGGAGAGCCCATTCCCTGATCCTGACAGATAGCGAAGGAGGTATAGTATCAGTTGTGCTGCTGACAAGGGACACCTGACTATGTTTTTATTAAAAGCTCCAAAAAAGATTGTCTGATGTCCTTTAGAACTAGACCCCAGATGGGCTGTCTGCTCTGTCGATGTGATGCAGGCAGCTGTCAGCCTTTTTGGGATTGCTCCCAGCAGGGAGAGCCCTGAGCAGATAACTGTGTGTTGAGCTCTGCTTCACTCAAGCTGTAAATGTGTTGGAAGCTTTTTCTCTGCAAGTGTTGCAAAATATGGATTGTTTATCTAGCCCAAGGCCTTGTTTAAGTGTAGTCTATTTGTCTTGTTCAGTCAGACGTGTTCTGGAATTCAGTTTTGGATGGCTGTGCCAATGCTCCTGTGTTACTTTCGCCTTGAAGCCCCAGAGTGCTACCTTTATAAAAGCAATTAATTAATAGGCCTTTATACAGAAGATCCTGTGTTTGAATTGTGCCTCCATGTCTCTGGGAATTCTCTGGTACAGTGGCTTCAGTGCTGTGCTGAGCGATCCAGTGCTGCTTATCAGTGGGTGAGCTGGTTGGTTGGTTGATTTAACGCTCCTGTGGGAGCGCTGATCTATTTCTGAGTCTCCTTGGCAACGGCAGGATGAACTAGGCAATTACTGAAAAACAGCCAGTGGCCTCCAGGTACCGCTACTGTGCCTGCAACAATATTGCTGGGATATTGTTGACAGAAATGGATTCAATCACTTGAATTTAAGTGAACTTGGTTTGAAGAAAGCTTATGCCAATTTTTACAGTACTATATTCTACCTTTTAAGCTAAGGACCGCATGAAAATGTTTTGTGTACCTGAAAAGAGGCTTTCAGGGAATTGGACAGTAATAAAACTAGTGCATCGTATTATTGTTTTTCAGTTTTTGCAATGGGGAACAATTCTTATGGACAGTGTGGCCGGAAGGTTGTTGAAGATGAAACTTACAGGTGAGAATCCAAAGATCCTGAACTCCCTTAATGTTAAGAATGTAATTGCATGAAAACAACCCTACAGCAAAGCCTGGAGGACTATAAGGACGCCATTTAAGATTGATGAGTCTGAGAACAGGCTTATGTGCTGCAGGCATCATATAAAACCAGGCTGGGCACTAGCACTCTTCTCACCACATTCACAAAAGACAAAGATGTCAGCATGTGACAGTTTTCGCAGGGCATAGTGAGAAAACCCAACCTTCATAAATAGCTTGAGGTAATTGGTGTTAGTAGTTGGTCTTTCTCCCTTTAGCCTCTCAGAGTGCAGGTGCTATTTCTGAGGGTGTTAGAAATGCCATTTAATGATGAAAGAGACATCCTTTTGTTGAATCTCTTTGCTGTGACTGCCTTTGAATCTGTAGTGCTTCTCCTTTGCAAGCTTTTTGTGGGCCACACCAAAGCATATTCTTAAAATGCTCTGTAAAATAGTAGTGATGTAAGTGGATAGTGGGAATATGTTGAAAGCTACTGATCCCCTGGCAGGGCCTAGAAGAGATCTTGCACATTGCACTATCTGTGATCCACAAGACTTGGCCTGTGGAGTTTAAGAAAATAGCTGTAGTTTAGCTAGCTTTTTTTTTTTTTCCTTGATACTGGAATTTAGTCATTGGATTGTTCAGAATTCCTGTTTTTGTGAAAGAATGACATCAGTGTTAACACTACACTCTTTGTGCTCTGGAATATCTGGTTAATCTCTGGTTAAGTCTAGTGTTTCTGTAGGTGCTGCAGTATTATCTAGTGTCTGTGCTCATTCTAAACTAGGAAACGTGTTTGAGGATTGCTCCCAGCCCCGATTCCCATGAGAGGTTATATTTAAAAAGTGACAGTTCTTAACTTCTTAAATAAGAGAATCCAAAAATGTCTTTCCTTCTTTGTGCAGTAATTTTACAGTGGAACTATCCTCTTTGAGTGTATCAGAGAACACGTGAAAGAATCTCTCTTGTAATAGCTAAGTGTCTTTCAGTAAAGACAAGTCTACCTTCACATTTTTTGGTTGCAGTCCTGAAATCCTCTCTGTTGTCTCTTCTCGGTGGTTGTTTGGTGGTGTCCAGTGAAAGCCATCTAATTCATCAGCTGAAGGAGTTTGACAGCAGAGTTGTTCAGGTAAGAGGATCGTCTGAACTGAATTCTGAAGGTGAATTGAAAACTGGCAGAACAGCTGAGGGTGGTAATCGTTGGCACGAAGACTAGTTGAATGCCAGTAACTAATGCTGTATCCCAGGGGTCAACACTAGGTCCGATCCTGTTTAACATTTTCACTGATGATGTGGATGGTGGGGCAGAGTTGCAGATGATGGAGGACTGGAAGGAGTGGCTGATACACCAGAGGGTGGTGCTGCCATCCAGAGGCTGGAGAAATGTCATGAAGCTCAACAGGGAAAGGGAGGAACAGCCTCAGACACCCCTGTATGCAGAAAGGCCTTGGGGGTCCTGGTGAGCACCAAGCTGACTGTGAGCCAGCAGCGTGCCCTTGCTGTAGAGAAGGCAAACGGTATCCTGAGCTGCATTAGTGTAGCCAGCAGGTCAAGGGAGGTGGTCCTTCCCTTTTACTGAGCACTGGTGAGGCCACACTCAGACTACTGTGTCCATTTTTGGCTTTCCCTGTACAAGAGAGACATGGACATACTGGAGAGAATCCAATAAAAGGCTGTTAAGGTGGTGAAGGGACTGGAGCATCTCTCCTGTGAGGAGATGCTGAGAGAGCTGGGACTGTTAGCCAGGAAAAGAGAAGGCTGCAGGGTGTGTCTTGGGAATGTGTACAAATGCCTGAAGGGAGGGTGCAGAGAGAAGAGAGACAGGCCATTTCCAGTGGTGCCAAGTGACAGGACAAGAGGCAGTGGTCACAAATGGAGACCCTGGAGGTTCCCTCTGAACATCAGGAAACACTGAGCACTGTCACAGGCTGCCCAGAGAGGTTGTGGAGTTTCCCTCCTTGGAGATATTCCGAAGCCACCTGGATGTGGTCCTGGACAGCTGCTGTAGGTGACCTTGCTTGAGCAGGGCAGTTGGACCAGATGACTTTCAGAGGTTCCTTCCAAACTCAACCTGACTGTGATTCTGTGATGAAAAAAAAAAAAAAAAGGTATACAAATCATTCAGTTGAAGCTCTTTGGAATGGCAAGGTGATCTACTATGTGGTTTCTTACAAAAAACAGAAGGTGGCATTTTGCTCCATGACTCTGCAGAGCAGTTAAAGGCAATGCAGGGTTTGAACTTACTGAAGAATTTTGGAAATGCCAACGCAGCTTTTATTTGCACAGCAGTGAGGTCATTCCGATGCCTCATCCCTTCCTGTCCTGATTTCCTGCTCTTGTTCCCCTTTGTCGCTTTTATATTGCTTGGGAATTGTTTTATTTTATCTTTCCCATTTCAAAAGTAACCTGTGAGACTGTCCCTAGGGCAGGTTTTTAGGAGAGCAAGGGGCTGCAGGGCAGCAGAAGCACCACTGAGTCTGCATATTTCCAGGCACTGGAGCAGTTCACTGGTGTCTGTGCCTCTGTAGCAGAGCTCTGTGGGCAAACATTGCTCCTGTTCCAGGCAACGTCCTAGAAAGCATTTAGGTCCACATGATGAGAGTGTGCTATGGTACATCCTAATAATGTTTTGAATTAGGCTTGTAAACTTCTGTTTGGATTTTTCTTTTTTTTTTCTTTTTTCAAGGGGTTTGAATAATTGGTACCTGTTTTACTTTGACAAAGTTAGATGCTTAATATTCTTGGTAGTCACTCTCTTAACTTGTGGATTAGATCTGTTTAATCTTTGACTAATACTTAATGTCTGTTTTTGAAGATCCTGGCTTTAATTCCTGCCAAGCCTGTGGCAGATATGATTGCTAGTTCAACATAAATGTCAATTTGAGAACAGATGTGTTCCTAGAGCACTTACATGGCAAAGAATCAATAGCAGTTTGTAGCTGGCGTTGAACACCATGTGGTAGCACTCTGGGAATGGAGATTTCTTATTTACTCTTTGCTGTTTTATTGTGTTGTGCTGTTGAGTTGAGCTTTGTGTTAACTAGGCCTTGTTTTTGACCTCAGAAAAAATTAACTGCTTTCCACAAAGAAAATTCTGCTGTTTTCTGTGCTGTATCATGCTGTTCTTAGCCTTCCCTGTGTGTACAGCTGTGTGATTGGGCAAGAAGGGTCAAAATCTGAGCTGATGGGCATTGTAGAGGTTCATCGCTCAATTTGGCTGCCAGTAATGCTTTGTTAAATTGATTCTGAACACGTGGCCTTTTCTGACCACCTCTGATCTTTTGTTTTTGTGCAGGTTGTGTGTGGGCAGGACCACAGTCTGTTTAGAACCAAGAAGGGTGCAGTCTATGCATGTGGATGGGGAGCCGATGGACAAACAGGTAGGAGCATTGCAGTGAACTGGTGACTATAGCAAGCTGCCCTAATTCAGAGCTTGCGATGGATATTTGTCATGCGTGTGTGGACAGACAGGGGCTGGTGTGTGCAGCTATGTGCAGATGTTCTCAATACTTTTGGGTAACCAAACTGAGACAAACCAGTTCACTTTTAGAGGAGCTGTAGGATGCCATGCTGGCAATCCAAGCATGCAGTCTGAGGAGAACATGTCTACTGTTTAAAGCTTGTGGAAGTGACAGGGGAAGGTTAGCTCCCTGGTTCTTTGCAGGCTTTGCCTTCCCAATTCTCGTTTTAGGGTCTGTTTTTCTTCTTGCTTCTTTTGAACTGACAGAGACCTTTGGTGGCTACTGCCGTCTTAAATGGGATCTCTGGCCAGGCCCTTTTTCTAGTGTCTTCTGCTGTCAAAGAACTACCTCACAGTCCTCCTGCTGTTTAGTCCTTCCGCTGCTCCTGAAGCTGGGTTCTTCTCATGGTTCTCTTGTGTGGACACACTGTAGCCCATCTTGTTTCTGGCCTCTTTTCCAGGCAGCTCTGTGTCATGTGAAGTGTGTGCTTCCCATCCTCTTTTGCCACTTCTGATGTTGTCCAAACTGATGGCAGTGTGCTGTCACTGATGGCTCTCCTTGCAGAAGACAGGATGCAGCTGGTTTGTGAAACTTCACCTTGTTGGGATATCTGCCTGACTTGCTTACTGCTCTCTCCAACACTTTGGTCCATGCAGACAAGAGAGATGAGACTGTCCCAGATGTGGTTGTATAAAGCTGTTTTGTACTCTAGAGAGGTAGCTTTGGCTAGTAGAACTGGTGATTCTGACTCTTTGTCCATTGAAGCTGGTAGTTAAGAGATAGAGACAGAAAGATTTCTTCTGGAGGAAGGGTGATTGGGTTATAACGTGACAAAACAGTCCTGTGTAGGCATTAAAAGCATGTCTGGAAAAAAATTCTTCATCATCTCTCTACTTTTTTCCTTTCAGGTCTTGGACACTACAGCATCACCAGTGTTCCTACTAAGCTATGCGGTGACATTACTGGAGTAAACATTATCCAGGTCTCTTCCTATGGGGACTGTTGTCTGGCTGTTTCAGATGAAGGAGATGTCTTTGGTTGGGGAAATTCAGAATACTTGCAGTTAGCATCTGTCACTGAAACCACACAGGTCAGTCAGCCTGGGGGCGTGTTTTTACATGTTTCAGTTCAGCTGCTGCTCACAGAGTTAAAAATTACACACTTGTCCCTGCTCTGGGTTCTTTTGACAGCGGTATAAATCAGTATAAACTAACACCACTAGCAGGCTGGTTTTACTTATGCTTACAAAACCAATCTGCCTGAAATGTTTGTATAGCTTTAGGCCAGTATGTTTCCCAGCTATTTATAGGCAAAGGCTTGTGTCTCCTTACCCAAGTTTGTTAGTCTGTTATAAAGGAAGAATACACCCTGTGTTCTCCTTTCCCCTTTGCATGGACTTTGCACCAGATTAAGATCCAGCTTGAGTGTTTGTGCTGGTTTCAGGACAGGAATTTGTCTTTTGGCTGGCTAGTCTAGAATTTTGCGTGGTCCTGCTTTGAGCATGGTGCTGGTACAGATGACCCTTGGAAATCCCTTCCAGTCAACCTGTATGTTGGTGAATTTTTTCACGATCAACCTTAATAGGTTTATAGCCATGTCATAAACAAATATCAGTGTCTCAACAGGTAAAAGGTTTTTGGAGCAAACTTATCTGGGGCAGAAATGTAGTGCTGATTTGACACAGCATTGTAGTACTGAGGTAATTAAGCAGATGGTCTCCTCTTACAGTTAGTGTAGGAAATGGAGTCAGGGAATTAATTAATACTCAAGCTATTCTTGGCAGAAGGCTAAGAGCAGACAATTGCATTAGTATGGCTTTAGTAAAACACGTACCTTCGTTTCCCATGCCTTTCCTGGTGTATCCTTAATGAAGGGCTAATTACTGAGATCCATAAGGCCTGAAGACAATGACCAGGTTAAGTAGTGTAGGTGGTTTCCTGGCTGGGTGTTCAGTGAAGGTCAGAGGGGTCTGAAATGGATGAAGGGCATGTTTGCCGAAGCAGGAGTTTTAGGTACAATATCAATAAAGTCCAAATTGTGGTAAGCAGAGCTGGATATTATCTGTGAAATCTGAGGCCACTGTTTACATGTGTTAAGCTGCGTAGGCTTCTGTTGTATTGAAATGTACCAAATAAGAAGGATTATCTTTGAGTGATTTTTTTCCCTAGTATGTTCAGAAATGCCACCACAGACCAAATTTTAGTGATCTTGTCCATTGTGAAAACTTGCAAGTGTGCTTGCTTACTGACTTGCCCATTGTTTGACTCAGAGCCAGGGATATAAGCAGCTGTTAAGCATTCCCAGCTTTGTTGCCATGTATGTAAGCTTTCCAGTGGGTAACTTTTTCCACTTTGTCCACACTCTCAGCCTTAATGAATTTCATGTAGTTTTTTTAATCTTGGGAATTGCATTCGTTCCTTCATTCAAGCAATAGAGGTTGTTTGTGTCAGGAATTCAGTGTATGTAAGCTCTAACCAGAACTAGAGGAGAAGTTATGAATGTGTGTCTGGTCTGCAGTTTACCTTGTCTCTAACAGCTCTCTTGCAATCTCATACAGGTGAATGTTCCCAGACATTTGCCGTTCAAGATTGGGAAGGTAAAGGAGGCTGCGTGTGGAGGGACTGGCAATATGGTGCTTACGGGTGAGTTCACTTTTGCAATCGTCCTCTTTAGTGCGTGGCCATGCAGTGGGTCGATTGTAACATCATGGAGCAAACATCTTGTTTACTGGAAACAGGAAAGTACTGTCATGAGGAAAGCTGGGAGAATTTAAGAATGTACCAGGGGGTTATTTTCACTAGCCGCAGAGCATTACTTCCAGTATGTGCTGTCGTGAGCACTTATGCAAACTAGAACAAGAGCATGGTTGCTGCCTCTGGTTATGATCTTGTTTGCTGATCACACGGGCAGTGCGTGGCCCATAATGGAGATGGATAAAGGGAGGAAGTAGAGCACTTGAGAGAAAGAAGAGACCTTCAGACTGAATATAAATCTGACATGTAGATAAATCTTGATAAACTAGGTTAGAAAGCAGAGAGTTCTGAGAACAGTGAAACTCTGCAGCAGGCTCCTTGGTGAATGCTGCTTTGGATTGCCAGTGGCCAGGGGAGCACAGCTTAAAAGTCACTGAGTAAAGGAATGAGGCAGAGGATTGTACTATCATGAAGGATCATTTCAAGGAAGACAATCATATGTGTGATGCAGTTGTTGTGATGACAAGACATTTGAGCTTCTAGCATGAAGGGAGCAGAGTAGCAGACATGGCAACTTACTCTGTCTTCCACTGTCCAGCTGCTGCCTTTCCCAGGCACCCAGTTTAAGGCAGAGCGCCAGGCAGAGTGACTAGCCTACTGCTGGTTTGGCCATGCCTCAAAGGAAAAAGTGGTGATAATAAAACACTCAACCTCTGTCCCATCAGTCAGTAGGCTGAAGTATTTTATCCAGCCCACACTGCGTTGGCATTATTTCCCCATGAAAGTTTTGCCTGTGAAGCTTGATCTGCTTGCACAACTTAGGAAAAAATTAAGGCATTTGGATGGGAATGCATTGTTTGCAAACTAAATAATCAAAAGGTGCTAGACTGCTCTGGGAAAAAGGAAAATATCCCTTTGGATCTGATTAACTCTTGGTCATGGTATGAATTTCACAAGCTCAGACTTTCTTACAGAATGTGTTCTTATTGTAATACAGAAGAAGGAAATGTTTTTGTCTGGGGATATGGAATTCTTGGGAAAGGACCAAACCTAATAGAGACAGCAGTGCCAGAGATGATCCCACCCAGCCTTTTTGGCTGCTCAGACTTCAGTCCGGACATCCGTGTTGCTCACATTCGCTGTGGACTCAGCCAGTTTGCAGCACTTACAAGTAAGTTTCTAGTTCTACTGTCATGGGAAGTCACACTGCCATGTTATTGGCAGTTATAAGAAAACAAAAACCGCCCATCTTTCTTTAAACTTAAAGCACACTGGAATGCAACAGGAGGGATGGGTAGCACATTTACAGGTGTCAGCATGGTTTCTACCATAGTTATTTCACTAACTTGTGCTTTAATTAAGAAAGTGTTATTCTTCTAAAGCAAACAAAAACTTTCTCTCGAACAGGAAGCCTGAGATGGTTTTTTCATTTCCTTCTACAGAATAAGTCACTCAGTTGCACTTTAAAAGCAGCAGGGAATTGTGGTAAATAAACTTAAACTGAGTTTAAGTCAGAGCTAGGTGTCAGGGTTTCTTGGCTTTTCTGACCAATTGAGTTAGCAATCAGATGGGAAGACCTACACATTTAACATGCAAAGGGTATGATACACCCTGTACTTGATACCAGCCTTTAAATGGTTTTGAATTTGACTGTCACCTAAAAATGGGCAGCAGAGGGCAGCAGCACAGAAAACCCACATGCTTGGCAGCAAAAGTGATAGTTTGCTAATGAAAAGTGCCAGATGCCAATGTGCTTGGTCCTTCTTGGAGAAGTGGTCTGCGTGACACTATCATTCTGGTTACAGGGTGCTTGTAACTGGTCTCCCCCTGGTACTCAGGAAGTGTTAGAAACTTTTCTCATTAAATTGTACTTACAGATGTTGTTTTGATTGTCTCTGCTGTGGGGCTGATCTGAACACTTCCAAGATCTACATGTTTTGCTGAGGAGCTTAAAACTCTTCAACTGTGAACACAAGTTTTTTTCTTTTCCCCAGTTGTCATTAGAAGGTCACTCTGTCAGGCAGCTGAGTAACCAGTCCCCAGGTGACAGCCTAGGACAGATTTTGCTGCCTTGCTTACCCAGTTTGCTGTGCTGATAGCTGATGTGGGTCAGCTGTAATTGTTTAACTTCCAGCATAAATGATTCACTTCACCACAAATGATTCCCTGGAATCTCTTCTGCTGCACTTGTTCTTCAAATAAAATTCCAAAGCAGGAGCTGTAAGAGGGGGAAGGAAAGACTTGTGCTCAGGACTTGCTGCTTGTCCTGCTCATTAGGCATAATTTTCTCCAAGCACAAGCACATTTATTGTACTTGGAACTAAACTCAGTGCCTTTCATACTGCATGTATAGCCCTTTATGCTCCCAGAAGCACTGTAGCTGCCACACTTGCCAGCAACACAAATAGAATTCTTCCTTTTTAATGACTCTGTCCTATTTTATTCTTTTTATTCTTTTTTTTTTTCCTGTACAGACAGAGGAGAACTGTTTGTATGGGGCAAGAATCTAAGAGGGTGCCTGGGAACTGGAAGAATGGAAGACCAGTATTTCCCATGGAGGGTAAGGATGGTAGTGCTAAGGCCAAGAGTATGTTCTTTAGTCTTTGTTAACCTGAGGGCAAGAAACATGATTTGCAGTGTAGTTTTGTTGAGTAATTTTGAAAGAAGTGGAAGCTTAAGATGACTGTAGAACTGCTTTGTTTTCCAGAGGTCTTTGCATAACCTGTTTAGGGATGGAGTTATTCAGGTTTCTTTTTTTTTTAGTCTGCTATTTCAGTACTGACTTCAGATCCCAAAGTGACATCTGGTGCTGTGCCATTACATCTGACCTGTTCTTATCTCCTCCTGTGCACAGTTAACCTGCTACCCCTTACTGCCTCTTTCCTCCCCTTCTAACCTGCACTTCACTTTTGTACATGCTGCAGAGAAAACCACGAATATCGATCATCTGTGACCCAAACTCAGGTGAACATTTTGGTCATGGTGATCAGACTGCAGTGGCAGCAAATCCACATAGCAGCAGGCTTCCTTCCCCTGCTCCTCTTCCAAGTCAAGCAGCTGTGGTGGTGGGGCACTGCACTGACTGTAGTTACAGTAGGAGATCCTTAGCCACTGAACTGTTTTCATAGCTGTTTCGCAACGCTTCCAGTTCCACTCCCTTCTCTCAGATGGCTCTGAGAGCCAGACTCTGTGGGTGTAGAAGAGTCTTTGGCTCTGGAGTTCAGCACTCAGCCTAACAGATGTTCCCAGTCTCCATGAGGGCCAAGTAGGAGAGGAGGGAGGCAATCAGTTGGACCACCCTGGAGTCCTTTTCCATGTGTCTGAACTTGCCGTGGATGTGTTTCTTTAGCATGCTTTCTCCTTTTTTTAAAAATGAACAAAAAAAGACAAACTTTGCAGCCTTTGCCTAAAATCACACTGCTGTGGCTGAGTGGAGTTTCTGAATTCACTAAGCGTGGCACATCCAGGTTTCCCTCAGTGTGGACGTGGAGGGTTATGCTCCCTTAAACAGCCAGCTCCTGTCTGACAATAGTACAGCAATGTACCACAGCACAGCAAGGGCAGTTACCAGGATGTTTGTCTGTGACCTCCTGCCCTAGAATTAGCCATCTCTCCTTTCCCTTAACTCTAAGGAAAAACTTGCATTTGTGGCCTCTGCTTTCCTTGAGTTTGAAGTCAGCTTTAAGTGAAAGAGCTGTAGCTACACTAATGAGTGAGCTGGGTCTGCTTAGCATCAAAGCAAAAACTGCCTTAGGCCGAGCTGAGCTTTTGCCTCGTTCCAGTCCTTGCCCATGAGAGGAGAGGCAAATCCTTGTGGTGCTTGGGCAAATCCTCTTCCTGCTGTCTGGATTACGCTCTCTTTGGTCATGCTGTTTCTGCTGCTGAACAGATGGGCTGAGGCTACAGTCTCCTCACTGTCTGCTAGTGAGCCCTCTCTCTCTGTCCTTCCAAAGGTTTATGTGCTTCTGTGAAGGGGGAAGGGGAATATTTCACAGCTCGATACACAAGCATGTCTGGTGCTGAATCTTGCTTTCTCTGGGTTTTCAAGATGGCACTTTCGTTGGTACAAGTCCCTGTGAAACCAACTGGCGTATTATCAGAAGGAGGATGAGAAATAGGAATTATCGGGGACAGAGTACCAGCTTGAGAGATAATCCACTTTTGTGTGTCTGATCCAGGTGACTGTACCCGGTGAGGTGGTGGATGTTGCCTGTGGAGTTGATCATATGGTAAGCATGGTTAAGTCTTTTACCTAGTAATATTGCTGGGCCTCAGCACGGTGCTAACAAGACGGGGGGACTTGTTGACGAGCTTCTTGGAAAGGAAGACTCATCCCATGAAGCCAGACAAGGAGTGACTGTGAGCAGAGACAGCCATAGCAGTGCCCGGGTGCGTTGTCACCTCTGCATCGTTGAAACTCTCTGGCCTGGCTCCAGGAAGGAAGTACGTTCCCTGAGGAGAGTGGAAGTGCTCTGGCACATTCATGATGAGATCCTGAAGAGTCTGAGGCCCAGCCCAGAGCTGGTGAGTACCTCTGTGCCTAAGGATGAGGAGCATCTTCCTCGGGGAAGACTTGGCACGAGATGCAGTCTGTAGCACAGGACACTCATTTATGGACGCTTTCCCTGTCACCAGCTCTGAGCTGTCAGCATTGGACTGAGCCAAACTATTTCTCAAGGGAAAGGTGGGTTTTTTTTAATAACTATTTTTTATGTGGAAGAAAAACCATGCTGGTCGTTGGAGCCCAGCGCAGCTGTCCTTAGTGGCCACCACAGCTGCACTCTGCGCAGACCACTCTCCATGCAGAAGCTGGGTGTGCAGCCCGCGGCCTGGAGGCAGTGGTGTGCTCTCATCCCAGGCTGTGGCCGGCTTTCCCTGGGGGATCTAAAGGCTAAATGCCCAAGGAATGTCTTTATTAAACTGGAAGAGTGAGAACCAGTGTGCAGGGCAAAAGTACTGTTAAGTAAGACAGCATGGAAAGGTAAATCATAGGCTGTCTGTGCTGCCATTGCTGTGGAAGGACAGATGGAGGTAGGCTGGAAGCAAAGCTCCCTCTTGGCTCCCTGCAGGGTCGGTGCTCAGGCAGGGGATGTGACCAGCACTCACTGCTCATCACCTACTTTTGTCTTCATGTGCTGATCACAAATCACTGCCTTTGATTTTTCTGGAAAATCTCCAGGGGTATGGTGGCTCTCAGCTGCAAGGAGCCCTTTTAAATTAGCCAGGCTTTTAGTAGTGCCTAGCAGGGGAAGGAGTCTTAATGGGCAAGAGACAGAGTCTTGTTTCTTGGAACCTTCTTAGCAGAAAAGTTGTGGTGAGCACATTTAGAACACAGTAAGCTGATGGAGATGGGATGCAACAACTGTATGTACCTGAATCTCACACTGAAATGTGGGAAGCTGTCTTATGAAATACTCCAAACATCAGGCAGATGTTTATATTATTTCTGTGTGGCATACTTCTACTGTGTAAATTATTTTGGTAAAATCTGAGCTAATACGGTTTTAATAAAGTGATTATAAAGTCTTTATCGGTAGTAATGAGAATATTCTTGAGCTGTGTCTTGCACTCTGCACTTAAATACGCATTTTTGTTCAGTGATGTGACGGAAAACTTCTTCCAAGTCAGCTGAGCCACCTCCACACCCGCAGGACCAATGCCGTTGTAGGCAGGCACTGTACCCACGGACCCAGGGGACACTGCACACTCACATTTTGGCTCCATTAGCTGACATTCTATATCGAATCTGTTGTGTAATTAGCAAAAGTTGGGGTAAACTCTACCTTGATGAAATAAGTCTTGAAGGACTTTGCATAAAATACAGGAAAGGTGAAACAAAGTACGCAAAGACAGAGGCGTACAAGTAGTTGTTACTGTATAACAGGTATTGCCATGGTGGGTTGAGGCAGAACAAGCAGTAAACTACTGTTAAATTGTGGCAGACCTTCACTGCTGTGAATTGCCTTTAAGTTAACTTTAATTTATACCTTATTCTACATGTAACTTGGGCAACTTGAGCTGCCCAAACATGTCTTGTTGGCCTTCTGGGAGTAGCTACGCGCTTTTAACATGAGGAAGCTTATTAAAGCATTGAAAACCTATAAAAAGCTATGGTAAGGAAGGTGTTAGTTTCCTGTGTGGATGTTGCTGTTTGAGGAGGGCCGCACAGGACGGCTGGTTAGTGGGGGGCAGCGCTGCGGGCTTTTAGCTGCTCTCCTTCACAACTGTTCCCTGATGCCACTTGGGGCTGGGCCTCTTGAAGAGCTGGGATGAGAGTTAATGCTGTGCCATACCTGGTTGTGTTGCAGTCTTGCTGTGCAATAAATTGCAAAATCTGTGTGTTAATTAGATGCCAGCAAGGTCTTTAGCCCTAAATAGAAGTGTTGTATGGCTTAATGCTGTGGGAGTTTGCACTTTCATTACAGTGGCTGTGGGCATTCTTGAACATGCTGCTTGATGGGAACAAGGTTAGTGACAGAGCCTGTGGTCTGGCAAAACCAGCACTGACCCTTGTTTCCGTTAAAGTGGTGGGGGTTCACCCTGGCCTGGTGCCCAGGCTGCTCTGTCACTCTCCCACTGGCAACAGCACAGGGAGAGAAAATACGATGAAAGCCTTGTGTGTCAAGATAAGGACAGGGTGATCAGTTACCATCATGGACAGAACAGACTCGAGGAAATTTTTTTATTGCCAGTGGAACAGAGCAGGTTAATGAGGAATAAGAATAAATCTAGAAACACCTTCCCCCGCCCTTCTTCCCAGGCTCAACCGTACTCCTGACTTTTCTACCTCTTCCCTCTCCTTGTTCACTGACCTTGGTGTCTGCATGGTTGTTTCTCACATATTCTCACTCCTCTCTCCCAGCTGCTGTTGTGCAGCAGTTTTTCCCCATCTTAAATACGTTATCCCAGAGGCGCTACTGCCGTTGCTGATGGATGGGCTCAGCCTTGGCCAGCAGCAGCTCCTTACAGGAGCTGTGTGCAACTGTCTGCTCAACATGGGGGCAGCTCCTGGTGTCTAGTCACAGAAGCCATCCCTGCAGCCCTTTGCTTCCAAAAACCTGACCACCCAATACAAGTGGGCTTTGCTGAAATTATTTCATCCACAAGATCAGTCTAGAGCATGTCCAGACTTAGCAAGGCTGTGGCAGCAGTTGTTCCATTATTCATAGCATCTTTCACTACTTACAATGTTTGGTATGGCCTCGGCCCCCCCAGGCCCAACACCAGATCCAGTGTTTTTGCATTTGCTCATCATGTTTTTTTTGTACACAAGGGTCAGTGTGTGGAGTGGCTAGCAAGAGCTGCCAGTGTGGTGACAAATGTAGCTGCACTTGCCTGGGCAGAGATCTGCAGCTGAAGTGGGGATCTGAGCTGTGGGTTGGGTGCTCCTGCCCTGCCTCCAGCACATCTTGTGTCGCAGCTGAGTGCTGGTGGGTTGTGCTGAGCTTGTGGTTACCTGGACTGGAGCGGCAGTTCCCGTCACTCTGCTCTTGTGCCAGCAGGACCCTGGCAGCACAGACAGCTGTGCTGGCCTAAAGCTGAGCCCCCTTTCCTCTGGTCGCTGGAGAAAGAAGTCTAAGTGGCAGAAGGTTCCTTGGGGTAGTAACAGAGCCAAGAATGTTGTCTGCAATGGCATGTTTTCTAATTGCCAGCATCATGCTGTGACTGTTGAAACAGGTGGAAAAAGGTTGGTGTTTGTAGGCCCAGTTGCCCTCTGCAGCAAAGTGCAGGGAGTGCTGGCTTCAGCGCTGGCTGGGCTGAGCTGCCGTCCTGCCCCACGGCCTGACAAGTCACGTGAAGAGACCCTCTGCTCCTGGCAGGCCTTCGCCTGAAACACTGGGTAAACCTAAAGCCCCTGCGGCCCTTGCAGATGGCGGTCACGGGGCATTGGGCGTCTGGCTGCCATCTCTGCGCCCCGCTCAGCTGCGAAGCCTCACTCGCGGCGCTGCCAGCGCGGTGTTTGCCTGTGGGTGAATAAGGACCAAATGGAAACCGTCTGTCCAGCCCCGCACAGCGCAGCTGTCCTGCTTCCCAGCTGAAAGGCTCCTCCGTGGCCTGCCAACGCGCCTGGGGAGCCCTCCTCCCGGCCAGGGCACCCCCCGGCCAGCCCTCCCTCCCGGCGGCAGGCTGGGCCCAGGAGGGCCATGGTGGTGGGGGTGCGCCGTAACCCCCCGCTGCTGCAGCCGCCGGGACTGGCTGTGCCATGGGCCGCAGCTCGGCCTCGCTGCCAGCGAGAGGCTGCAGAGGAGGCACAAGGCGGCGAACAGGCCCGTCTTTGAGACGGTGTTTCATGTCATGGCAGCTCCGCGGCTGCCTCCGTGGCACCGTCCTGCCGCACTCACCCGGCCGGGCCGAGGCAGAGTTGGTGTCAGAGTCGGTTTGAGAACAGTCAGTGTGCGGTTAATGACTGGACTGAAAGATCTTCAACGTCTTTTCCAACTTAGATAATACTGTGATTCTGAGGCGGTGGGGCCTTGGGGCCTCCCCCCCAGGAGCTGCCCGTTGGTGGAATGGGCACCCCGGCCAGGGAGCACCTTTGCCAAGAGCTGCCTTGCTGCCATCAGTGCCCGTGTGTCAGCACAGAGGCTTTTTACGTTATAGTTGTAAATTTATTAACATAACTTTTAATATATGCAATCTATTCACTGTTTTATGGTTTACACTCTCATAACAACACATTTTTTGTTGTTTGAGGGTTTTTTGGTTGGTTTGTTTTTGTTAAATAAAGACTTTGGTTTTGGGCTCCCCCCTCACCCCACTGCTGGCAGATCAGCCCCCACTGCACCACCCCCCAGCCCCACACCAGCCTGACCAGGCCACGTTTTTGGCATCCAAGCTCAGCTGGGACCTGCCTGGAGCTGCTGCTTGCGTGGCATCGCCCTGTGCACAGCTCGTGCCCGTGGGAAGCGTGGGAGCAGCAGCTGGTGCTGAGGAGGGTAAGGGAGGCTGGGGAGAGCCGGCACCTTCCTCGGCTCCGCTGCCAGGACAGCGGCACAAAGAAGTGTCCACAGAAGATCTTACAAGTGGGGTTCCCTTTGGGGGAGCAGCAGGAATGCACCCCACTAAAAGGAGCCTTTTCAGTGTGTGTTGCTTCTCACTACAAGCAGCCAAAAGAAAGGGCAGAGTTTCCCTTCCCCTTTTTTTGCATCTTTCTTTCGAGCCTGGCTGATAAACCTTCTGCTCGTCTGGCCTCACTCCTCCCAGTTGGGCTGTGGGTCCAGTTTCTCAGCTGCCGCCAGCCTGTCCCACCCCTCCATCAGGCTGGTGGAGCTGCTGGCACCACACTGCTCTGGGAACGGCTCTTCCCAGAGAAACCTCCTGCTGCAGCGAGTGAGGAGCATGGGCCTGGCCAGGCAGGGGTCTGAGCTGCTGCAGGCTGGAGCTGTCGCTGCTGGGGCCCTGGAGAGCTGCTCTGGTGACAGGTTTCTAAACAAGTACTGCTTGTCATCGGTAAAAACCCCTTCATCTCTTGCTAAAGCAGGGGACATTTACGACTAGATTTGGTCAGTCTTCAGGCACTTGGCCCAGTTGCTGTGACCGCCAGGTCGTGTGCAGGCTGCACAGCGTCAGAGCCGATGACGGGGAGACAGAGTGTCGCTGAGTTTGAGCCTCTGGAAGGGTCCCCAGGTGCAGCGGGGCAGCAGGTGGTGCCAGGGGAGTGCAGCCTCTGGAGAAGCTGAAGGATGGACAGTGGTGACTCCTGCCCCATCTAAAATCTTACAACTACAAAATAGGTTCCCTGTCCTCAGAGCTGAAGAGGAGCCAGATGTGCCTTCATCCAAAGGCACCTGTAACCACACAGACGCCCCACACGAGGTTAAAAAAAAAAAACCCTCACTGAAAAAAGAGGAGCATTTATTTTTTAATAGCCCTTTCCCATCCTAGATCCCTTGGCCTTACCAGCTCTCGCTGGGGGCTGTGCTACGCAGCGTGTGTGCTGGGAGCAGCTCAGCGTGTTTTGTCCTGTGTGATGCGGGGAGTCACCGCACCCCCAACACACCCCCTGCTGCACATCCCTCCCTCCCCACCTGCTGCTCCCTGTGGGGCCATCCCAGGACAGGAGGGTTTCCAGCAGCAAGATGTAAATTGGGACATACAGAGCTGGGATGAGCTGGGTCCGAATTTATTGGGAGATTGGTTGCAATGCTTTTGGATAAAAGCAAATCTGAGACCGTGGATGAAAACATTCGTGCCGGGTCATAACTATTAACAGCATGCCTGTAGCAGTGCCCTTCCCTGTACTCTATAGCTACGAAATAACTAAAAAAGACATGTTTTACTTAAGAAAAAAAATTCAGATTATAGAAAAGTAAATACACTCTTCCCCCTGCTACTCTTTACTGATCAAAGGCAGCCACAGCCTGGGCGGCTTATGCTGCCTCTGCTGTGACTGATGGGCCAGGGCCATGCAGGAGCCCGGCCCATCCCCAGGTGGTGTAGCAACCCCAGGACATTTGAAGGTATGAGCTGGAAGGCAATTTGGCATCATTTTGTCTTTCAAAATATGGCAAATTAGCCAGCCCAAAAT